CTGTTAACGGTCAGATCCATTGATCTGGCTTAAAATTGCCAGAATAGATCTGGCCATTTATGGTCAAATTTAGTCTGATATGACCGTTTTTTGCCATCAATATGGCCAGAAACGGCCATATCAGAGCCTCTCGGAGCTTCATAGTGACTCTCGATCATGTTTAGTGACTCCAGCGGTAGTCCGCTATGGTTGGCCCGCTGTCGGTGGTAGTGGCTGGGTGGCAGCGGTGGTTTGTAATTTGTTTTAAATATAATGATATTATTGTCCAAAAACTTAATTAAACAAGGGTAAAATTGTAATGGTGGATTAATGTAAATTGATTTTAAAACAAGGGCATTTTTGTCCAAAATTTTTATTAATAAGGAATAGAATTGTAACAAAAATAAGATTACCTTGGTAATCTTACAATACCTTAGAAAATGGAGGTAATCAGATTACCTCCAATATAACCAACAGTAACTACTATTGGTATTGGAAGATTACCGGAATCTTATATTACTTGACAATCAAACGTGGTAATCAAAGTAATATAAGATGACATAACCCCAGTAATCTGATATTACCCCCAACCAAGAGAAATGTTATATTATATATGTTTGGTTTGATTGTTAGGTATAAATAATTAATATATTTTGTTGGGAGGAATAAAAGAATTCTAGGAGACCCTTTTACTAAATTGCNTAAGAAAATATGTTTGGTTAGTTGGAATAAATGGGTGGGTATATTATATTAATTTGTTTGGTTAGAAGAAATAAATTGGTGGGTATGTTATTTAAATTACTAAGTTGCCCTCTTTTAAAATATTAATATAATATTATTTTTATTATTAATTCTTGAATAATTTCTTTTAACCTCTAATATTTCAGATTTAGCTAAAACACCCCCTTATATAAAACTTTAATTTATAACAAAATCACCCACACCACCCTGCCGCCGTCTGTTGCTCCCACAAACCACCATCGGAAGTCGCCTAGAGTCATCGTGAGTAGCCCACCGTGATCAAGAGGCTTTGATATGGCCATTTCTGGCCATATTGATGGCCAAAAACAGTCATATCAGACTAGATTTGGCCAAAAATGGTCAGATCTATTCTAGCCATTTCCAGCCAGATCGATGATGGTCAAATCTCGTCCAGATCTGGCGGATAATGGCTAGAGATCTGGCTGTTAACGGTCATATCCATTGATCTGGATGAAAATTGTCAGAATAGATCTGGCCATTTATGATCAAATTTAGTCTGATATGGCCGTTTTTTGCCATCAATATGACCAGAAATGGTCATATCGAAGCCTCTCGGAGCTTCATAGCGACTCTCGATCATGTTTAGTGACTCCAGCGATAGTCCGCTATGGTTGGCCTGCTGTCGGTGGTGGTGGCTGGGTGGCAGCAGTGGTTTGTAATTTGTTTTAAATTTAATGGTATTATTGTCCAAAAACTTAATTAAACAAGGGTAAAATTGTAATCGTGGATTAATGTAAATTGATTTTAAAATAAGGGCATTATTGTCCAAAATTTCTATTAATAAGGAATAGAATTGTAACAAAAATAAGATTACCGAGGTAATCTTACAATACCTTAGAAAATGGAGGTAATCAGATTACCTCCAATATAACCAACAGTAACTACTATTGATATTGGAAGATTACCGGAATCTTATATTACTTGACAATCAAACGTGGTAATCAAAGTAATATAAGATGACATAACCCCAGTAATCTGATATTACCCCTAACCAAGAGAAATGTTATATTATATATGTTTGGTTTGATTGTTAGGTATAAATAATTAATATATTTTGTTGGGAGGAATAAAAGAATTCTAGGAGACCCTTTTACTAAATTGCCATTTTTTTTAAATATTATTATTATTATTATTTTATTATTTAGACTATTACTTTAACCCCTTACATTTGAGAATTTGCTAAAACAACCCAACCAAAATAAAAGTATAAAATTTAACAAAATAACTACAGCCACATAAGACCACTACTAGCCGTCGACCACCACCACTAGCTGTGGCTAAAGTAGCACATGAGCAGCCGGATCTAGCCGGTCGAGTGTCTATCTGGTCGTTTCCAACAAGATCTTTAGCCGTAAACGGCTAGATCGATGACCGTTAAAGACCAGATCTATAGTCGTTAACCACCAAATCGACGGATCTAGTTGGAAACAACTATAACAGACATACGAGGGAATTTATGTTTGAAATGTTAATTAATTAAGGGTAAAATGAGAACAAAAATTGGATTACCCAGTAATCTTAAAATACCACTATTTCAATCTATAATCAGATTACCTCAATATCACCTATAGTAATCACTATTGGTATGAGAGGATTACCAAAATCTTTTATTATCTAACAATCACCTCAGAAATATTCGGATTTTAAGATAGATTACCAGAATAATATTTTATTACCGCTAACCAAACGGCCCCTTATTACAATATGTAAAATCTAATGATACAAACTTTTTAAAATGAATTATAAATTTTCTCCCGAATGAATCAAAAGACTCCTTAAAAAAAATTATTATTCGGTCAATGTGTTTTTAATAGTTAAAATTTAATCTACCTTACATAATTAATTATCTTATAAATGACACTGGCTAACTAAATCCAATATAAACTTTTCAATGTGATCTACATTATTTTGGTATTTTTTTTTATAAATTGAACTGCCATACAACTTATTCTTTTCTTCTAAAAAATTAGTAATAATAAATGTGTATTTTTTTAGGTAAAAGAACTTAGATCAGAAGATAAGTAATGTTATATATCTCAAATGATAATCCAAATTTTTTACATCAACTTATGTAAAATTGATATATCATTCATCACATCAACTCTTTATATATTATTAACGCTCGTAAATAATAACAGGTAGTGACTTTTATCATCTAACTTTTTTATCAAGCCCACACTTTTTTATTTTAACAAGTTTAACCTTAAATAAAATTAGTAATTTACTATAAAGAATACCATAAATTCTAAGTACACTCATACTTTATTTATTTTTTCCTTTTATTTATTTATTTTTATAACATTTAAAACTCATAGTTTATTCTAACTATGTTTGTTTTTCTTAAACATGAAGTTATGAACTAATCCAATTTTTTTTTTTTAAAATTCGGATTTAATAAATTATGACTTATGGTGGAGTTTCTTGGAGTAATTGGAGTTCTTTTCAGGAATACAAAACCTTGTATTTAATAGTTGTAATGACGGAAGAAATACAAAAAAAATATAGAAAATATATTTAGTAATTAAGAAGACAGAATCTTGAGTTTAGGAGACTTAAAAGGAAAAAAAGGAAATTAAATACATAGATATTTGTAATCTTATATTATAATTGTCATATTTCAATGAATCTTTACAAACTTGACAAAATAAAATAGGAAACAGTCTAAATCTCAAAAAAAAAAAAGAGGAAATGGGGTAAATAAAATACTTATTTAAGTCTAAAACGATAATTTTAGTATTAAGTGGGATTTTCAAAAGATATTTTAAAATATAAATTTGGTGTTATTAGTAATGCGGGCTACTGATCAATTATTAGGGGGCGTGGAGTCTAATGTTTCAGCCTTTCCAGAAGAGGGTGGCAGTTGTAAATGTGAAATTTTGGGTTTTGCAACAATGGATCAAATCTATCTAGCTAAGTTTCCCTCACAATATACCCAAGGCCCAAGTGATATTTAAGAGAACACTTATATAATAAATTAAAATTGGGGTTTTTTCTTAACTTTGAGGTTTAATCAAATTTCAAAGTCTCCTTGACATTTACGAAATAACATAAATTTCCTCAAAATTCTCTTTCAGTTCTCATATTTTCCTTAAAATCTAAAATTTTATTTAGAAAATATATATTAATTAAGATCTGTCACCGTGCCAAATCTAGGGTTGAGCAAGAAATTCGGGTAGAACCGAAAGCGACGGATACTCGGGATTTAGATTCTAGTTCCTACCCAGAACCAGCATGGAAAGGGTCGATTCCGGTTTCAAATTTGGTGAAACCGACATCATTCAATTTCAATACAAGTCCCACCTCTTCAGGAATCGAAACCGAAACTGGAATCAAGGTTCCAGTATCCAAGGTGTAATCGACTGGTACCCAGGGTGTATTTATAATTTTTGTAAACTATTAGGAATGTATTTGTAATTTTCATAGGGTATATTTGTCATTTTTGTGACTAGTAGAGGAGTATTCATAACTTTCCTGGCTACTCGAAACCAAAACCAAAGCTTGTTTTACTGGTTCCAGTTCCAGCTATTGAGGAATCGAAACCGGTCGGTTCCGGTTCCTTGGAAAAAGGGTGGGTAACTGGACCCGATTAAACCTATGGCCCAAACCAACACAAGATTTTTTTTTAGCCCAAGGCCCATCCAGCCACTTAGACGTGTCATATGCAAATCTTCCCCAATTTTATTCATGTGCGTTGATATAATCGATGCTCTCGACAATCATGCCGTTAAACAAATAAAACTAACTCTAAATAGCGCTAGAAGATGATTGTTTTGGTCACTTGGTTAAAATTAAATCGCAGTTTTTAAAATGGTGAACCATTTTGCCATTGGAAATAGAAGCTACTCCCAGGCTTCCAGGTTCTTACCAAGGATTATTTTGACATGAAATTTAGGCAAATAAAAAGCTTGGTCAAGTCAGTACTCAGAATCACATAGTTTCTGAGTACTGACTTGACCAACCATCAGCTTGTTAATAGTTTCTTGGCCTTCAAAAAGAGTCACAATCCAAACCATTTTGCTTGCAGGTCCATGCAATTGCAGAATCTGTACTGTCTGTATTGAACTAAAATATGCAATAAATTTCAAAATTAAAATATTTCAAACTCGATTTTGGCTTTAATTAACTGAAAGTTTTTGGTCATAAGTCATAACTAATTCCTGTATTTACCAGTCTCTGTTCAGAAAACTAACACAAGGGTTGAATTTGGCAAGAACATACAAAATGTGATCACGCTTAGACAACAAAGCTAGCATAACAAGTTATCAACTAAAAATTTTGGAGCCAATAATAATAAAAACCTTAGAACATAAACAAAATATTACACTAAACAAATGTCACCTGTTTCTTTACTCAAAGCTTTGCCATAAAGATATTGTAGAAGACAGACGAAAAAAATCTATCAACCACATAACTTAAATCGCCTGCAGATATTCCACAATCATTCATAAAATCTCCAGCATAAAGTAGAAAAGGTTTGTGTCACAACTGTACGAATAAGTGACGAGTGCCCGCAAAGGACTTTCCTGCAAACAATTCACTCAACCTGATTTACTAGCCAACTTCTTTAAGGAAAAATGGTGATTTCATGATAGCTCAACAATTTTTGGCCTCTTTTGTGACTTCTTGTCTCCAGAAGCTTCCCATTCATGTTTGATTGTCTTGGATCGTTTAACTTTTGAGGGAAAACATTTGCTCTTGTCTTCATTGGCATCATCATTGTCACCACCTTCATCATCTACATCGCTGCTGTGATCATCATCGCTATCTTCACTGCTATCTTCAGAGTTTGTTCCACTACTGCTGGCAGCTAAAGAAATTACTGGCTGATTACCGGCAATTGCTGATTCAGCAGCAGTTACGGCCTCAGGTGTATGAAGATCAGCTACGCCTAGCATTAAATCCTGTCATTAAGATGCACCCCAAAATTCTGCTATAAATTGGCTGCCAAAAGTTCTCAAAACAAAGAATGAAGAGAAATAGAAAGAGAGACACCCTGAATTACCATTTCAATAACTTCAGATTCCTTTCCATTGAGCACTTCAATATCATAATCTTGAGCATTGTCCTATTTTTGGTAAATTGAAGCACCGGTTAGCAATCAAGAGAGCAGGATAGAATTCAAAACATGATCTCGATTTTGTAGAAAGATCAATATACAAACCTTTGCATCAAGCTGAAGCCTTTTATTAGCTTCCGATATCACTCCCAAGAAATACTTCACTTTTCCTAAAACTACAAAAACAGCAAAGAACTAAAGTTTACCGAACACAACTTGCATGCATGAAACAAGACTTTACAATAGATATAAATTATACTTTCCCATACATGGTATATACAATTAACAGCTAAGGAATCAAACATCTTAAAAACTTTATATCCTTTTCACAATGTCCAGACTGATTTCAACTGATCATCCAAAACTAAACAGTTCTGCAAATATTACAAAGAGCAAAACATAGGTGAAAGACTTGATAAAGATGCTCTCAGATACAGATGCAAATCCATTAATTTGCAAAAGGAAAAAAGAATTATATGATATGGGTTTTTGTGGTTCTTCAATCCACATAATTTCCTATCAATTCGTTCAATATCTCCTTCTTTTCAAGGCTCAAATTGTCACATTGAAATTATGACTTAGATGTACTACTCCCCCTTATGACTTAGATGTACTACTCCCCCTTATGACTTAGATGTACTACTCCCCCCACCCCATTCGCTCCGAAATCTTGGTTCAAATCCTTCACTAATGTGTAAAAGATGCCTCTTTTTTACATTTATTACGTTTCAAATCCTTCACTACACGAGTATTTTATTTTTAATTGGAATACTCTTAGTACCCCAAAGAAATCTATTTCCATTTTTTCAAGACAAAAGTATATTTCATTCCCTAACCATTATCTTTCTTAAAACAAGAACCAATTAATAACAATTTCCAGGAAAAATTGAATAAAGCTCCATTGTTAAACGGATAAATTGGCAGCTTTATTGATAAAAGTAAGAAAGACTGAAACAGAATTGAAGATTCAAACAAGTACCTTGGCTTTGGGGACGTACACTAAATAAGGGTTTCTCATTTGGGTTTGGTTTCTTTGACTCTTTCTTGTTGCAAACGAGAATGGCGGATTCTATGAACACAAACACAAAAAGTAAAATTACAATAGAATACACATACAGACAAGAGGGAATGAGAAAGAAAAACATTTACCCATGGCTGAGGAGGTGGAATTCTTGTGCTCTAACTGTAAAAGATCTCTACATGTTCTTGTTTCAGCCATCTCTGCAGTTTAGGGTTTAGGGTTTTGCAGAAGCGGAACCAGCAGAAACACAAAAGCTCCAAGAAGACTTCCCAATAAAAGTATAAAACTATATAAATACTTTACAGTTAACCAAAACGTACTTGAAAGACTGCATCACCCCCAGAAAAAACACATTTAATTAAAATTTATGTTAGCTGAACCCTTGCAGTTTGACGTAAAACAAATACCCCCTAAGTTTTGAAAATAACAAAAACCCCCTTTTATTAGTGGACTAATAATGAGCCGTTTGAACATATACTTTTATGAATCTATAACTCGCCCTCTTAGAAGATGAGGCAGACTTTTTGCCGATTAGGAATCTGGTTATGATTTTTGTTTTGGATGATCGGAGATATCCAGATCAGCTTGTGTACACCTCAATTAATTTTTTGAGACCTTAGAGCTTTTAGTCAGGTAAGAGCTCGCAGTGATTATCTCTATTAGGAGTTATAAGGACTCAAATTTAAGAGACCATATAAACTTAGATCTTCATTTACTCTTTTACTATCAGGTCACCCAGTGGTTGTTGCTATAATGGGTTTAGGGTATTAGCTTTAGGATTTTTTTTTATTTTTTGATTTTTCATATTTTCATTAATAATTATAAAATTTTGTGTATACCTTCTTTTAATTGTTAAACCTAATGAAAGAGTCTTAAAAACAAAGGGCTTGCATATTGATTAATTTATCAATAATACCATACTCACAAACTCAACTTTTAAACTCGTAATCTGTCAGCTCGCAATGGGTCTCGCCTGCCCCATAATAGGTCACATCTGACCAAATGTAAGTTAACCAATTGCAAGCTATCACGTCAGTGTTTATGAGAGAAAGTTGTGAGAAGTGTTTGTCAACTAATCTTTATTCTTAATTTATTATCCATACCCATAACTAAGGGGGTTTATTTACTTGACCAAACCTTGACAGGTTTAAAGTATTTATCACAAAAAAAAAAAAATTAACAATATTATAGAAAGGTTCAATAATTGACAAGAATACTATACCATCATATTGAAAGAAAGACATAGGAAGATAATAATATTTCATATAAGAATACCCATATCAAAAAAAATCCAAACAATAAAATATCAAAACGCAGAATCATATCTCAATCCTGCAAAAAGAATGACTGACTCTCAACTTCCTCCTCCCCCCACCACCACTTCTTCCCCTTTCTTAAAAAGAATATAATTGTATTTTTTTTAGCTGCTTATTTTATCTGTCTTCTCCCAAATGAACCTAAGTTTTTGCTATGCAGTTACAGTTGAAACAAATTATAAATATAAATACATAGTAACATCATAGACATGACAATTCAACAAGTTCAGACTCCGGAGCTCTTCTTGGTCTTGTATCGATACAGAACCCTCTTCTTCTTGCTTGAACCATTCTCAACTGTTAGCACAACTTTTCCAGGTTCATTGTTCCTGAAACTGTTCCGAATTGGAGCTTCCTGTGTGCCTATCTTCTTCCCCTTCTGAACAACTATGGTGTAGGAGCCTTCATCATTTGGCACAAATTCCTCCCTGTAGTTCACTTCCCATCCAAGCACTGTCAGATCCCAAGTTGTCGTCGTTCCCAGCTGTCATTATTACAAACCAATCATTAACGAGTGTCTTAAGAATAAATGTTAAAGAATACATGAAAACTAAATCAAGGTACCTCATCAACTGGAATCTCAATGGATTCAGTTGATCCTGCTTTGACAGTAATCTCAGAGACATTAGGCTCTTCATTTGCGAATTCGAAATCATCTTCTCTCTTGAATCCGCCATAATGAACAGGTAGCTCTTCGGCTGAAATGTACCTGCAATCAAGAATCAAGCTCATTGCTTCAGCTTTTTGTTCAGCACTGCTGCAATATTGACAAGAATTGGAGGAAAAAGAATACTTACTTCAAAAGAGTTTCAGTGACCTTGGCAGGGCGAGAAACAACAAACTTGCTCTTGGTTCTTTGAGTAAAAAATGGCGATAAGAGTGCATTGAGAGCATAGTACCAGAATGGTACATTAATAAAAAACTGCAAGATCCCACAACTTAACAATTTAGAAAACCATTTTGTTATTTTGGGATCGGAATTGAGGAAATTAAATTAACCGACTTACGTTTTTTGCGACGAATTCAGGATAATTGTCTTGCAAAAGGCCAACCGCCTGCTTCATTGCAATCCTGAGCTCCTTCTTGGCCGGTCCAGGCGAGTTTTTCAAGTCATTGATTTGAAGCAAAGAAGAAATCCCACTCGGCTTCAAATCAAGCTTCTGAATACCCTTCTCCATCAACCTCAACCTCCATCTCAAGAACTCATTGCGCTTCTCCTCGGTCCCCAGAGTCTTCTGATACAGCTCCTCGTTGTCAAACACCCCGAAAATGTTATAGCAAACGGGGTGTCCTTCGCGATCCACGCCATACATGTATGCAGCTGATCCCAGATCAGCCCCAACATCCTCCTCCAAGATGGAATCTATGTTGTTCTCCTTCCTCCATTGGAGCGACTTCTTCAGCATCTCGAGTGCGTCATTCACTTTGAACTCTCTCGCCCTCAAGAACTTCAACAAAATCACATCAATCCCCTCTGCGCCTTTGCTCGGCAAAAGAGGAACTCCCCAAAGAGATATGTCTTTATCAACTTCATCAACACATTTCTCTTCAGTCTTCTTTTCCTCCTGCTCAGCTTCAGGTGTTTTCTCTTCCACCTTCTCCTCCTTCTCAGTTTCAGGTTTTGTCTCTTCCTCAGCTTCAGGTTTTTTCTCTTCAACCTTCTTCTCCTCTTGAGCTTCAGGTTTTTTCTCTTCTTCTTCTTTATTTTCTTGTTTGGTCTCCTCTTTTTCTTCAACAACAACCTCTTTTTCTTTCTCTTTTTCTTCAACAATTTCTTTTTCTTTCTCTTTCTCTTTCTCCTTTTCCTGAACATTTTCAATCTTTTTCACCTCTTCCTTCTTGAAAATTCTACCCCCAATAATGGCTTCTTCAAGCTTCTCCTTCATCTCATTCAACGCCTTCCTCTCAAACTCCTTGAGATCAGACAAAAAGTTACTCTCTTCCTTATAAGAAGCAGACTTTTCGATAACTTTAGGCCCTTCTTTAATAGATTCTTCTTCAACCTTAACCTCAACTCCTCCATTATCATCACCACCACCCAACTGAGTGGTTTCCTTCTCTTCAACCACAACCTCAACAGTCATCTTTATGCAATCAAAACAAACAAACCCAAATGAAGAAAGAAGAAAGAAGAGACACAGAAGACAGACGAATTGGAAATCAAACCCCTCGCCCCCTCTTTAAAAAACTTCAAAATGATTTTGGTACACAAACGAACGAGAAGGAGGTGTGGTTTGTTTTGTTTTGTTATGTTTGGTAATATAAATGTGAAGAGGAGAAGGAAGGAGTCCCAACGGTTATATAATTTTTTGAAGTTTTCAAAAGTGGGGTCCACCAACGGTACCTGGCTGGAGCCAGCCGTTGGATGGATGGGGGATCCGATTTGGTTCCCGAGGGTTTTGCTAGCCTGGAGGCCAGCAAAGATTGGGAATGATAGGACCCACAGCAACTATTTTAATCGAACGGCTGGTGGTTTGTCTTGATGCAATGTGATGATTGATTATTCGTGTTTGGTGTTATTCACAGCTAGATTTTGCTTAAATTTTGAATGGACATACTATTTTCAGCATATATCTATTATTAAATTAGAATAATATCCTTTTTTTTAGAGGCGAATTTTCAGTTTAATAATTACCAATCATATTAATAGTAAAAAAAAGATTAGAGAAAAAAATACTATATTTTGATAAATTTATCGGTGTGTGATACAACTTAGATAAAATTACTTCAATATTCCATGCATAGTTATACAATTTTTAAAGTTTTTATAAAGTTATTAATAAATATGATACGTAATATATATAAATATAGATTATGATATCTGATATAAATTTGTGACGATTATGGTTAAATATCAAATTTAAAAGATACTGTATAAATTTGTGAATCAGGAATCTTGTGGTCGAACGGTAAGACTTTAGTCATTCTATAAAATAGTCATTTATCATATTTATGACTTACCTAACTTATTAGGTTTATAAAGTGTTCAATGAACCTTAGGCATTAATTAAAGTGCGTACAAACTGGCCCAAATCTTCCGATTATTATGAAAAAAAAAAAAGATATAAAATCTGTAACTTAGATTTTTTTCTATATTTTTTATGAACCATTTATTTTTATGATTTTAGAGATGTTAAATTGACATTAGGAATGTCTCAAATTATGTATTTATTTTTTTAGAAAAAAAAAAAAAAAAGGGTCTTTGCAAAAGCAAATATACTGAGTTTACAAAATCTTGGGTGGTAAATGAAAATTTTATTATTTTATTATCAGTTTAACAAACTTAAAATCTGAAAAGTTCTAAAACATAATCTTTTAGAAATATTCATTAAAAATATAGAAAAATAAATAAAATTTAGAACAAAATCTGAGATTATAAATCTCGTGCTGTGCTTAATCTCATTAAATCCAAAATCAATAATTTAAGATAAAAGAATAATAACAATAATGACAAAGAATAATAGTATCATAAATGTGGCATTATCTTGAACAAAAAAGGGCTAATTCCTAGATATTTAGTTTGTCCTTTTTCTCCCCATCTAAACCTTGTTTATGGTGGCTACCAAATCAAAGAACTTTTTAATTAAAAATAAGAATATAGGATTCTACTAATAATCCAGAATACAATAATATAAATATACTTACTACTAGGATTGTTTTATATAAAACATAACCCATAAAAAACCCCCCCTATAACTATTTAATATTTTCCTCAAATTATTAAAAATCCTCTTGTTTCAAGGGTTTTTTTAGTAGGACAATAACTAAAAGGGAGTTTTTAATAGTTTCTGAAAACCTTGGGTGTGAATTGGATTAACTAATTCCGCAAGGGGTGTAAAAGAAAAACCCTAATATAAAATGAAATAAAAATAAACCAAACAAACTTTCTTGTTCTTGTGATTTGCTGTCATAAATGTATTGATTGAAAGCATATTCCATGGGAATGCATGTTATTATGTCCATGCATGGAGGATTGACTTCAAACATGATGTTGCCACTTGGCATGATGTCACTGGTTTGATGATGTGGACCCTTTTGTTTGACCATATTCTGTGGCCGTTTGATTGGTTTGCCAACTTAAATCAACCATGTGGTAGTTAATAGAATAAATTTCACAAGGCATGTTTGAAGATGACAGCGTCCAGATTATTAAAATCCAAAACAATTAAATTAAGTAAATAATCTAACCACTCATATCGACTCATCCCTTTTATTAGAGTTAATGACATTAATACCTTTGAGTTTAATTAAATAACAAAAATCTTCTTAAAAATTCTAAATAACAAAAATCTCCCTGTTGTCAAGATTTAGATGTTGAGATAACTCATAAGAAGACAATTTAATAGATTCAACTACTATTCTTAAACCCTGACCTGGCTGGTTTAACCAGTTTGACCAAAACCTAGGGCCTTCTCTAGGCCGGGTTATCGCTTTCCACTGTTTCAACCTAATCACGATGGTATACATGAGTCACGAGAACGGGGGGCTATTAAGTCTCAGGGTTAAAGAGGTTTTATAGAGTGAAGCTAGTGGTTCAAATGATGGTATTAGATTGAAATTTGGCCGTTGGAATCAACCAAAATTTGCCTAAAAAAATCAAAACCCTAATTGTGCAATTAGATCAACAAAGGTGTATTTGATAGATTTCAAACATATAGGGATTGATAGTATTTATTAGGGGTATGTTTGTTAAATTTTAAACTTGATGGATCACCAAAAACCACGAATTTAATCGATTTAACTAGTCAACCGGAGACCCAACCCTTTGACTGGGTGATACTCGAGTTGGGTTTCAAAACACTAGGTTCAACAACTCACAACCAATAGAGGGATTTTGGTCATTTATGAAACTTCAGGGAGGGTTTATTATTATATCAAACCGCAAGGGGGTCGATGATTTTTAACACCCTTTACTATACGATGTTTTAGGTGAGGCCCACAAAGAATATAGCATAAGAAGTTTATAGGATTTGGGCGGCTGGGAATTGGACAGCCTTGTTAAAGCTGTATCTTAATCTATAATGGGCAAAGAAAGTAATAGAATAACCCTAAATCATCTTTCACTAGAGTTATGGATGCCACATTCTGATGCAATGTGATTTTGACTCTTGTGGAAACCATCAATATGCCCGAAAAAACAAATCTAATGACTTGGGCATCTTCTTTATCTTACGACGTCCCATATACAGGAAAACATATCTATAATGATACTCTATATAAGTATAAACTCTACATAGTCATAAAAAATTAAATTTTTAATTTGGGATAATTATAAATAAGAATAAATTTTATATTGTAATAAGTTATAATTTTTTTAATTATTGTCTTAAAAAAAGTTACATCCACATAGTAATAATTACTTGTATATTAGAAAAAAAAAATATATGCTACCTTACATTAAAAGTTTAAGATGAAATAAAATATTTATCTAAAATTGTTTGGATTAATGATTTATGTTTTAGAGTTGTTACCACATCTTTTAACTTACAGGTACATTACCCGCTAATATGGACATCTTCTTGTTAAAACCAAAATATTTCTAGCTTCTCAAGCCTATTTAGAGCTTATTAACATAAAACTTTTTGTATTTCTCTACTATCATCCTCATAATCAATTTATTTCTCTTCTATTGTAATAATGATTTCTTCTTCGATTAAAGTATACATGACTTGTTACTCATTTGGATGATTGAAAAAGACATTAATATCCATACTATTATAGTAGTGAAATTGACAAATCTGATCACTCAATTTTACAATGATTATTTGATTCTCCTTATCCACTTTATTTGTAACTTGCAATTAATCAACATCGAGAAACCTAATTTTATAATGCTTAAAATAATTGACAATTGTCTATAGTTTCACATTAATTTGACTATGCAACAATTGCATTTACAAATCCATCAATGACACTTATCTCTATTGGTTCCAAGACAATTTTTTATCCGTTTCAAAAGTAGACAATTGAAACGTTGAATTGAAACCCTAATACTATACTACAAAAACATAAATTATAAAATAAAAAATTTTTGTAATTATACCTCTATTAAGTTATAACCTCTTCATAGTAATAAAATTAGTTAGTCTCACCATTATAACTATAGAGAGGTTTTACTGTGTCCACATTATAACGCATGCATGGAGATAGTGAAGAGAGCCAAAGCGAGCAAGAGATTATAATGATCAAACATATTGGCAAGGATTAATACGTAGTTGAATCATATTCATAAAATGAAATTTACAAATGGAAGTAAATGGTACAAAAATTGGCCAAAGTGGGCATAACCTTCGCGGGCCATAGCTTTGCAAGACCCGAAGTAGTCAGCCTGCGTTTAGACAAGCATCAGGTACCCTCAGCTACCGTGGTTTTGCAGGAAGCAACGACACCCATTAGGTTTAGATGGACTTCATCTCATCAGACAACAGGTGAATCACACTGTACAGATACTTAAAAAATTAATACAAAATAGCCGATCCCCGCCCCTGATGGTTACTTGATCTCTACAAATTCACCAGTTACCCTGCAAAAAAACAAATAATAAAATCATATCAACAAGGGTTACACGGCGACTGCATGAGCAAGAGTCATGGTGCCATAGTGGTATTTGACACAAGAAATTTTTTACTTCCAGACTCAAAATTGTATCAATGGCATCATTAACAGTAAGTTTCACACACCTATTATATGACAAGTAGGCATCGCCTATTGTTCCTGCCACCTTATTCCGTACCTTCCGCACACAAACCTGCAGTTTTACAGTTTAACAACGGCTTTCCTCAGGTTAAAATATAACGATTATAATAAAAACAATATCTGCATGCCAGTAATATACAACACTCCAAAGGATTAATACCCACTTGTACTCTGTCAATAGGCCCGGCATCTGGATCCCGATTGCGGTGAATAACAATTCCATTGTCGCACTTGTTTATGAAGTGTGCACTTCCACTAATATCATACAGATTAGGAGGAGTCCCAACCCAACTGTGCAACTGTCAGACAGTAAAATTAGAAAGAGGGCACACCTGAGAAACAAACTAATGCTCACAGAGACTAACCTGTCTGGGATGCGCAACAAACCAAACATGGCAACCATGATGTTGAGCAAACCGCTTGATCTTAGTAAGCATCTGACTCACATACTCAGTCTCAGTCCTATTGGAAATAAAGGTTCAATTTGTGGATAAAAACAGAAAATCTGGAATTTGATATGCATGATATATTTACCTCTATATCTAAAATTCAAGCTCTATCATTTACTACAATAATAAGTTGGAAGATATTCCTTCTTAATAATGTTTTAATTGCTATTTAAGTACAGATAAATAGACACTATTAAATGCTTATGTCCTTTGAGAATCTAAGAGGGTGGAAAATAATTTTACTTTGCTTTTGTCTTCAATCAAAGAGCTCAAAACGAAAATAGAAAATTCAATTTTGAGTATCTTCAAGATTTGAGAATTTGATATTATTTTTAGAAAATGGCTCTATAAATGAAAACAATAAAAGTGCATACATGTTTATTTTCTGGAAATAACAAAAAGAGCATTTTGATGAATAATTTTTAAAATCACTAATATAAAACAACTCAAAAGAGCTTTCTGGTTTTGAAGTATAAATCTTGAAAGCAGAGAAACCCCACAGTCGTCTTTCCTATTTTAGTTTTTTCTTTTTTCTAAAAGAGAATATTTTTGTGTTTAAAATAAACAAAAACAAAATCGATTGCCAAACATTCTCTCAGTTTTCCAGCGTTGGAAAACATGAAAACTTCCTGTAAAACAAAAATACACCCTAGAAGTAATTCTTCATGAAAAATTTACAGAAAACAGTACAGACCATTTGCTATACACGAGTTTCAGGTACAGGCATACAAGAAAAATGAACAAAAAAAGAGCTTAACGGTTGTCAATGCTGTCATATTATATGAAAAAGTCATCATTTGAAGTTAACGAAGATCACGATTCAAGTTTTACTATTGGCGGAGGTAGCAATACAAACAAGAAGTAGATGGCATAAGAGACTCACAGGCTAACAGGACGTTGATGATCAAGTTCATTGTATGGATCAATTACAAGTCCACGGACCCCATGCCTCATAACTGCTGCTTTGGCAAGTTCAAGGACCCATTGAATACTTGGAAGAGCATCATTCTCACACCTGCCATGCGAGAAAAGACCTACTTTAATAAAAATAAAAGTTATAAGGACCTAATCAGCAACAAGAAATAGTTAAAATATCAGCCACCCAAAATCTTAAAATTTATACCCATTTCTTATTAACTTTTTAGTTTTCCATTGTCCCTTCAAAGATATGTAAGGATTTGCTTCAGACTGCTGGTTCACGTCTATTGAACCTTCATTTTGTTGTCTTTCTTTTTTATAAGACATTTTGCCGCATCGATAATATATATATATGTGTGTATTATTTCTTTTGTTTCTTAACAGAAGAAGTATAACATGACTGGATAATTAGTCTTGAGCCTTTACATCTGGATTGAAGTGTGAAACCATGAACAGGGCAAAGGCGCCGATAATGATGTGGTTAAAGTTGACCAAAACAAAAGCTATGAAAAGATTCAAAGCGTTTTATGTAATAAAAGCAGCACACTAGAAATAATGCATTGTATTCATACAGGCAGAAGTTTTATGCACAAAGATGAACATCCAGCTTACCTTATAAGGCTAAATGTATCACTCAACCATTGCTTCCCTTGCTCCAACTCCTCTTCAGTCATTCTTTCAGCATATCCTCCATAACTAGGGTTGCCAAAGTAAGTAAACACAAATTAATGATTATAACATCCAACAATTAAGAATTTTTTGAAGAACACATAGAAATTAAAAGGAAACAATTTCTGAAGAAAACATAGGAATTAAAAGGAAACAACTCAAAACAAGAGTCCAGACAACCAACAGCCGAAGACTAGAAACTAACAAACTCAAGGGTCCAATTATTTCATTTCATGCATGGACAATATAATTATTTGTTTGTGCAAGTATGCATGCTTCACATCAACAATAGAGAAAATATCAACCGTTAAAATAAAAGAGAGTACTGTTATAAATCCCAAGTGAAATGATAATATTTTAGAGATACACATCAGCGAACACATAATCAAATAATCCCATGTGCTCCTGTAAGACAATCACACATCACATGATATGAAAAACTACAGATATAAACTTGTAAATACATAGCATAATTCCATAAGAAAGACTTTTGCCTATGTAATAAATGAAACTGTAAGTATAAAACGGCAAGATATGGGTGTCTTCTTAAATATAAAAGATGTATATAATATGCTACCTTTAACTAGCTTCTAAACTTTAAAAGATAAAGAACTCAAAAATTTACTAAAAGATGGAAAAAATTTGATGTCCATTGCCAATTAATAAAACATCGTTAAATATCTTAAGAGAGTGACTTTTTTTTCCCCAACAAGTCACTCCCTAATGCACTCCAGCCAAATATATCAAATTAAACATCTTATTCACATGCGAAAAAAAAAAAAGTCCACTCTTTCACCTCCACTGACTCATACCAAGCACTCCAAGAGCTCAAGACTGAACAAAGAAAAGGATAAATCGATTAGACCCAAAGCAACATAGAATGAGAAACCAAATCTCAGACAAAGCTGGACAACATACCAAGTGATTCAAGATTTCATCATCACCATAACACAAGCACCGGACGGGAAAAATTCCTTGTCTATAATATTTTTTAGTTATAAGATTTTAAGCAAAGCCAAATTCTAAAACAAGACACCTTGGTGGAGCACCTATTGACATAAACTCTTTCAAGGAACCTCATTAAATAAGTTTACATTAGAAAGAAATATCTTAGTTCTTTTCATTTTCCAACACATTTTCTTCTCACAGAATGCAAAACCTTGCAACTCAAGTATTAGACCTAACAAAGTATTCATTGGTTCCACAAACAATCTTGAAGACACTCATAAATTTTATATTTCAAAACAATGTCCTCCCTGATAGCTCTATAAAATCTACCACCTTTGCTTTCTTACCTACCACAAGTAGACCAGTATCAAAGGTTTGAGCTCATCAAACAAGCACCACATGAATATGAATCATCATGCTTCACCATGTCTAACCTTTCTATGATTGCAAGAGTGTGTTGAAAGACCCAAAAAAAAGAAAAAAAAAAAAAAAAAAAAAACTCCACCGAGGACTGACTCTTTACCCAATATCTCCCAATAAAGAGGTCAAGGAAAAGGTCAGAAACTCCAATTCTATAACAACTTAAACAAAAACCCAGTTTCAAACCATTATCAAAATTTCAACTGGACTTCACTCGCCAAAAAATTTACTATCAACTTTCAAATACCGCAACTCCTGAATAAGAACCCCTGGGGTTTTCCCCCCCTTGGGAGCGCGACAAACCAAACATGGCAACCATATGTTGAGCAAACCGCTTGATCTTAGTAAGCACTGACTCACATACTCAGTCTCAGTCCTGTTGAAAAAAAGGTTCAACTTGTGGATAAAAACAGAAAATCTGGAATTTGATATGCATGATATATTTACCTCTATATCTAAAATTCAGCTCTATCATTTACTACATAATAAGTTGGAAGATATTCCTTCTTAATAATGTTTTAATTGCTATTTAAGTACAGATAAATAGACACTATTAAATGCTTATGTCCTTTGAGAATCTAAGAGGGTGAAATAATTTTACTTTGCTTTTGTCTTCAATCAAAGAGCTCAAAACGAAAATAGAAATTCAATTTTGAGTATCTTCAAGATTTGAGAATTTGATATATTTTTAGAAAATGGCTCTATAAAGAAAACAATAAAGGTGTATACATGTTTATTTTCTGAAAATAAAAGAGCATTTTGATGAATAATTTTTAAATCACTAATATAAAACAACTCAAAAGAGCTTTCTGGTTTTGAAGTATAAATCTGAAAGCAGAGAACCCCACAGCCGTCTTTCCTATTTTAGTTTTTTCTTTTTTCTAAAAGAGAATATTTTTGTGTTTAAAATAACAAAAACAAAATCGATTGCCAAATATTCTCAGTTTTCCAGCCTTGGAAAACATGAAAACGTCCTGTAAAACAAAATACACCCTAGAAGTAATTCTTCATGAAATTTACAGAAAACGTACAGACCATTGCTAACACGAGTTTCAGTACAATATAGCATAAGAAGTTTCTAGGATTTGGGCGGCTGGGAATTGGACAGCCTTGTTAAAGCTGTATCTTAACCTATAATGAGCAAAGAAGGTAATAGAATAACCCTAAAAAATCTTTCACCAGAGATATGCATGCCACATTCTGATGCAATGTGATTTTGACTCTTGTGGAAACCATCAATATGCCCGAGAAAACAAATCCAATGACTTGGGCATCTTCTTTTCCTCGTAGGTGCCCATATACCGTCAAACATCTATATAATAATACTTTATATAAAAATAAACTTTAAATAGTCATAAAAAATATATTTTTAATTTAAAATAATTATAAATAAGAATAAATTCTACATTATAATAAGTTATAATTTTTTTAATTCTCATTTTAAGGAAAGTTACCTCCACATACTAATAATTATCTGTATATTGAAGAAAAAAATATATGCTACCTTACATTAAAGGTTTAAGATGAAATAAAATATTTATTTAAAGTTGTTTGGATTAATGATTTATGTTTTAGAGTTGTTACCACATCTTTTAACTTGCGAGTACATTATCCACTAACATAGACATCTTTTTGTCAAAACCAAAATATTTCTAGCTTTCCAAACATGTTTAAAGTTTATTGACATGAAACTTTTTGTATTTCCCTACTATCATCCTCATAATTATTTTTTTTTCTCTGCTTGTCTAATTGTAGCAATGGTTTCTTCTTCAGTTAAAGTGTACATGACTTGTTGCTCATTTGGATGATTGAAAAATACATTAATATTAATTCTATTAATGTAGTGAAATTGTCGAATCTGATCACTCAATTCTATGATGATTCTTTGATTCTCCCTATCCACTTTGTTTATAACCATTGTTTTAAAACATTTTGCTGTCCAGGTCAACCAGTCCAACCGATTGGACCAGTCAATTTGACCGATGATGTTAACAACAATTTTATTTTTAAAAAATTATTATTATCTCTCAAATTTTAACATATTACCAAAATTCCCCTTAAAAAGTTTAATTAGTCCCTACATTTTTTATTTATTTCAAAAATACCCCAAAAAATTCAATTAATCCTTAAACTTTTGACATATCTCCAAAATAACCCTATAAAATTACAAATTAACACTTATAATTTTAAAATATTACAAAAACCCTTTAAGACCTGAACCAGACCGAAGAAACTGTCAAGTCCCTGTCTGACCGATCCGATCTAATCATTAAAAACAGAATTTGTAACTTGCAATTAATCAACATCGAGGGATCTAATTTTGTAATGCTTAAAACAATTGACAATTACAATTCCACCAATAACACTTATCTTTGTTGGTTCCAAGACACACAATCTTCTATCCGTTTCAAAAGTAAATAATTGAAACGTTGAATTAAAATCCTAATACTCTTACGACATTAATTTAAATCCTAATATTATACTGCAAAAACATGAATTATAAAATAAGAAATTCTTGTAATTATACCTCTATTAAGTTATAACATGTTCATAGTAATAAAATTAATTAGCCTCACCATTATAACTATAGAGAGGTTTTACCGTAACCACATTATAACGCATGCATGGAGATAGTGAAAAGAGCCAAAGTGAGCAAGAGATTATAATGATCAAACATATTGGCAAGGATTAATATGTAGTTGAATCATATTCATAAAAAGAAATTTACAAATGGAAGTAAATGGTACAAAAATTGGCCAAAGTGGGCCTAACCTTCCCGGGCCATAGCTTTGCAAGACCCGAAATAGTCAGCCTGCGTTTAGACAAGCATCAGGTACCCTCAGCTACCGTGGTTTTGCAGGAAGCAACAACACCCATTAGGTTTAGATGGACTTCATCTCATCAGACAACAGGTGAATCACACTGTACAGATACTTAAAAAATTAATACAAAATAGCCGATCCCCGCCCCTGATGGTTACTTGATCTCTACAAATTCACCAGTTACCCTGCAAAAAAACAAATAATAAAATCATATCAACAAGGGTTACACGGCGACTGCATGAGCAAGAGTCATGGTGCCATAGTGGTATTTGACACAAGAAATTTTTTACTTCCAGACTCAAAATTGTATCAATGGCATCATTAACAGTAAGTTTCACACACCTATTATATGACAAGTAGGCATCGCCTATTGTTCCTGCCACCTTATTCCGTACCTTCCGCACACAAACCTGCAGTTTTACAGTTTAACAACGGCTTTCCTCAGGTTAAAATATAACGATTATAATAAAAACAATATCTGCATGCCAGTAATATACAACACTCCAAAGGATTAATACCCACTTGTACTCTGTCAATAGGCCCGGCATCTGGATCCCGATTGCGGTGAATAACAATTCCATTGTCGCACTTGTTTATGAAGTGTGCACTTCCACTAATATCATACAGATTAGGAGGAGTCCCAACCCAACTGTGCAACTGTCAGACAGTAAAATTAGAAAGAGGGCACACCTGAGAAACAAACTAATGCTCACAGAGACTAACCTGTCTGGGATGCGCAACAAACCAAACATGGCAACCATGATGTTGAGCAAACCGCTTGATCTTAGTAAGCATCTGACTCACATACTCAGTCTCAGTCCTATTGGAAATAAAGGTTCAATTTGTGGATAAAAACAGAAAATCTGGAATTTGATATGCATGATATATTTACCTCTATATCTAAAATTCAAGCTCTATCATTTACTACAATAATAAGTTGGAAGATATTCCTTCTTAATAATGTTTTAATTGCTATTTAAGTACAGATAAATAGACACTATTAAATGCTTATGTCCTTTGAGAATCTAAGAGGGTGGAAAATAATTTTACTTTGCTTTTGTCTTCAATCAAAGAGCTCAAAACGAAAATAGAAAATTCAATTTTGAGTATCTTCAAGATTTGAGAATTTGATATTATTTTTAGAAAATGGCTCTATAAATGAAAACAATAAAAGTGCATACATGTTTATTTTCTGGAAATAACAAAAAGAGCATTTTGATGAATAATTTTTAAAATCACTAATATAAAACAACTCAAAAGAGCTTTCTGGTTTTGAAGTATAAATCTTGAAAGCAGAGAAACCCCACAGTCGTCTTTCCTATTTTAGTTTTTTCTTTTTTCTAAAAGAGAATATTTTTGTGTTTAAAATAAACAAAAACAAAATCGATTGCCAAACATTCTCTCAGTTTTCCAGCGTTGGAAAACATGAAAACTTCCTGTAAAACAAAAATACACCCTAGAAGTAATTCTTCATGAAAAATTTACAGAAAACAGTACAGACCATTTGCTATACACGAGTTTCAGGTACAGGCATACAAGAAAAATGAACAAAAAAAGAGCTTAACGGTTGTCAATGCTGTCATATTATATGAAAAAGTCATCATTTGAAGTTAACGAAGATCACGATTCAAGTTTTACTATTGGCGGAGGTAGCAATACAAACAAGAAGTAGATGGCATAAGAGACTCACAGGCTAACAGGACGTTGATGATCAAGTTCATTGTATGGATCAATTACAAGTCCACGGACCCCATGCCTCATAACTGCTGCTTTGGCAAGTTCAAGGACCCATTGAATACTTGGAAGAGCATCATTCTCACACCTGCCATGCGAGAAAAGACCTACTTTAATAAAAATAAAAGTTATAAGGACCTAATCAGCAACAAGAAATAGTTAAAATATCAGCCACCCAAAATCTTAAAATTTATACCCATTTCTTATTAACTTTTTAGTTTTCCATTGTCCCTTCAAAGATATGTAAGGATTTGCTTCAGACTGCTGGTTCACGTCTATTGAACCTTCATTTTGTTGTCTTTCTTTTTTATAAGACATTTTGCCGCATCGATAATATATATATATGTGTGTATTATTTCTTTTGTTTCTTAACAGAAGAAGTATAACATGACTGGATAATTAGTCTTGAGCCTTTACATCTGGATTGAAGTGTGAAACCATGAACAGGGCAAAGGCGCCGATAATGATGTGGTTAAAGTTGACCAAAACAAAAGCTATGAAAAGATTCAAAGCGTTTTATGTAATAAAAGCAGCACACTAGAAATAATGCATTGTATTCATACAGGCAGAAGTTTTATGCACAAAGATGAACATCCAGCTTACCTTATAAGGCTAAATGTATCACTCAACCATTGCTTCCCTTGCTCCAACTCCTCTTCAGTCATTCTTTCAGCATATCCTCCATAACTAGGGTTGCCAAAGTAAGTAAACACAAATTAATGATTATAACATCCAACAATTAAGAATTTTTTGAAGAACACATAGAAATTAAAAGGAAACAATTTCTGAAGAAAACATAGGAATTAAAAGGAAACAACTCAAAACAAGAGTCCAGACAACCAACAGCCGAAGACTAGAAACTAACAAACTCAAGGGTCCAATTATTTCATTTCATGCATGGACAATATAATTATTTGTTTGTGCAAGTATGCATGCTTCACATCAACAATAGAGAAAATATCAACCGTTAAAATAAAAGAGAGTACTGTTATAAATCCCAAGTGAAATGATAATATTTTAGAGATACACATCAGCGAACACATAATCAAATAATCCCATGTGCTCCTGTAAGACAATCACACATCACATGATATGAAAAACTACAGATATAAACTTGTAAATACATAGCATAATTCCATAAGAAAGACTTTTGCCTATGTAATAAATGAAACTGTAAGTATAAAACGGCAAGATATGGGTGTCTTCTTAAATATAAAAGATGTATATAATATGCTACCTTTAACTAGCTTCTAAACTTTAAAAGATAAAGAACTCAAAAATTTACTAAAAGATGGAAAAAATTTGATGTCCATTGCCAATTAATAAAACATCGTTAAATATCTTAAGAGAGTGACTTTTTTTTCCCCAACAAGTCACTCCCTAATGCACTCCAGCCAAATATATCAAATTAAACATCTTATTCACATGCGAAAAAAAAAAAAGTCCACTCTTTCACCTCCACTGACTCATACCAAGCACTCCAAGAGCTCAAGACTGAACAAAGAAAAGGATAAATCGATTAGACCCAAAGCAACATAGAATGAGAAACCAAATCTCAGACAAAGCTGGACAACATACCAAGTGATTCAAGATTTCATCATCACCATAACACAAGCACCGGACGGGAAAAATTCCTTGTCTATAATATTTTTTAGTTATAAGATTTTAAGCAAAGCCAAATTCTAAAACAAGACACCTTGGTGGAGCACCTATTGACATAAACTCTTTCAAGGAACCTCATTAAATAAGTTTACATTAGAAAGAAATATCTTAGTTCTTTTCATTTTCCAACACATTTTCTTCTCACAGAATGCAAAACCTTGCAACTCAAGTATTAGACCTAACAAAGTATTCATTGGTTCCACAAACAATCTTGAAGACACTCATAAATTTTATATTTCAAAACAATGTCCTCCCTGATAGCTCTATAAAATCTACCACCTTTGCTTTCTTACCTACCACAAGTAGACCAGTATCAAAGGTTTGAGCTCATCAAACAAGCACCACATGAATATGAATCATCATGCTTCACCATGTCTAACCTTTCTATGATTGCAAGAGTGTGTTGAAAGACCCAAAAAAAAGAAAAAAAAAAAAAAAAAAAAAACTCCACCGAGGACTGACTCTTTACCCAATATCTCCCAATAAAGAGGTCAAGGAAAAGGTCAGAAACTCCAATTCTATAACAACTTAAACAAAAACCCAGTTTCAAACCATTATCAAAATTTCAACTGGACTTCACTCGCCAAAAAATTTACTATCAACTTTCAAATACCGCAACTCCTGAATAAGAACTCAGTCTCAATAATTGCACATAACCTGTCATAAGTTGATAGATTACAGAAACCATTGAAGCAAGCAGGACAGACGAAAAGAAAAAAAGAAAGTAGAAGAAGATGGAAAGAAACAGCACCGTGCAAACAATGAAGGATGGGACACAAAACTTACCCTGCTTTAAAANCCAAAAAATTTACTATCAACTTTCAAATACCGCAACTCCTGAATAAGAACTCAGTCTCAATAATTGCACATAACCTGTCATAAGTTGATAGATTACAGAAACCACTGAAGCAAGCAGGACAGACGAAAAGAAAAAAAGAAAGTAGAAGAAGATGGAAAGAAACAGCACCGTGCAAACAATGAAGGATGGAACACAAAACTTACCCTGCTTTAAAAAAAGGCTTCTTTATGTGTTTCTCCAAAAGTTTTCTTGCATGCTCCCGAACCTATGAATTACAGGGAGAGACGAAAACATTAGAAAGGGCATAAAAGCAAGAAAAAAGGCATCAATGGCAACAGTTTAAAAAGTATTGCAATTATATATATTTTTTATTTAGGAATCTATAAATTTTGTATTAAAATAATTAAAATGAGCAGATAAATTTACGAACTAGGCATCCAAAAGAAATCCAAAGAACAAGAGGAAATACTTCTATACAAACACAGGGAGTAATCATCCCTCCCCTGATTAAATAGCCCAGAAACTATACAAAATCAACCCAAAACGTCTTTCTAATTGAGAAGAATTAAAAAACAGTTGAATCTCACAACTCCTTAGCAACTAAAGCCTAAAGAAAAAGTTGCTGCTCCACAGGCACAAGCAACAAGAAGTGAGAAAATTCCGCTACAAAGATATTACAAATCTTCTATGTTGAATAATTTCATGATATATTAGATATAAATACAGCTAGCAAATCAATTGTTCACAAAATACTTGCATAAAAACAATAAACTGCATGTTTATTCTGAAGCCCAGATACACATGACCACAGATAGCAAACACATCAACACACACAAGAGAAAGAGAGAATCAAACAGTTCTATCAGGAGCAATTACTAGGTTCAAAGGAGCATCCAAGACTAACTATGCCTAAAAAATGACCTCAGTAGAACACTTTGCCATATCTGATTGCAGAAAACCCATTGCAAGAGATTTTCGGAGGGAAAAGTAATTGCAAGGCACATGACTCAAGAAAGGAAAGATATGGTGGAAGAACTAATATCAATATATTTCATCCAAAAATATTCAATGATAGACTATTATAGTAAATATAACTAAATTTTCTTTATGCACAGTCTACAGACAGTAATGACTGCAATTCTCAGCTGAATTGTCTCCACAAACCAACGCACCAATGGTTTAAAACAGTAATGGCACATATAGCATAAATAAAACATTCGAGCAAATATTGAATTTGACCTTGTTCTCCATAGAGCAGAGTGCAAATGTCCAACCAACACTATGATTAAGATTGCATATGAGCGCATCAATCCATTCACTCTTCCCGGAGTTTGGAACCCCAGTAACTATAGTTAACTCTCCTGGCACAACCTGATCAAAATAAAATTTAAAAGAATTAAGAGTCAAGAGAGGGTTTAAAAAAATAAATAAATAATTTAAAAAAACCCTCCAACAAAAAGATTCAGTATCGCTGCTTTGTTAATAACACTGACTTCAGTATAATGAATTAAAACCCTCTTTTTAAGTTGGGGCATGTAAAGAAAATGATACTCAAGTTTATACACTTAAAACTAACTTCAAAATAAAAACAATTATCGATTAAGCAAAATAAATAATGAAGAAAAGATCAAATCATGCCATATAACAGAAGATCTATCTCCAAAAGCATATATGCATCTGTAGTACAAAATGATTATTCTCCATTACTACATAAGCAGAATATCTGTTTAGGAAAAGAACCAAAACTTGTGATCCATGTGCAGACTAGTTAGGATTAAAAAGAAAGATTGCTTTGCTTGTCAAAAACGAAGAACATGGTATGCCACTGCTCCAAAATGTGAAAAATCGAGTTTATGCTTGTTTGCAGCTTTACATTGATAGCTAAATCAGAACTTTGAACACGGTGAGGTAAGGCTTAATGTGCAATGATTACAGCATGGTAAGATTTAAGGGTAGCCTCTTTCCCTTAAAACATTCATTTCGAATCTTGCAAGTATGTTTTTTTGTAATATTTCTTTTTTGATAGAATAAAAAATATTTATAAAAAGAGATGAGTACAAAGTGGGTCAAATATCCATTAAAGTGGTCAGATCACCCTTGAAGAGAGAAGCAAGAAATCTACAAAAAACTCTTACATATGCTATGCAAAAGGACCAATGGACTATAGGCTCTGTAGCATAGCTATGGCAAACAAAGAAAAAAAAAGATGTCAAGAAACTCAAGCCGATGCAAAATATGCACTTTGTCTCACAATATAGCCATTATCTTTAATTCTTTAACATGTTACTGTTTCTTTTACACCAAATTACCCCAAGATGAACCAGTCTATCACCAAATTTAATGTCTTAGATTGTAATAGAGTCACAGTCCAAAACAGTGGTCTAATATTTACATAATCCAATAGGATAGCAGAGAACTGTGTTACTCTATAATGTTTATACTGGATGAGCTGTATAGAGATTATGCTAAAGGAATATTTGTTACAGAACTGAATATAGAGACCTTTGAAAGAGAGAGTATTTATTTGGCTTTCTTTTACTGGTTAGGAGAAGATTTTAATTTCTTCTTGTTTATGACATGGCCACTAACAATTGATTTCATATTTTTCTCTTGGAAGAATAAATAACAGAATGATTGAATTGCCTTCTTTCCATATCTATCTAGATTGTGCCTCTAATCTAATGTGATTCTCACATCCACTTTCCCTTTCTCTTATCCCTCTTTCGACAAGCAACAATGACTAAACCATCAATAGGAACAGGGCAATAGTCCAGTTAAGATGCCCGAAACAACAAAACTGTGTATTTACTGAACAACAATATTCCCTGATGACATTCAGATTACTTATACTTCTAGTAAAAACAAAAACATCCAAATAAAGAGAGAAGAAATGCAGATTAAAATATTAATTTAAGAAACTTAGCCACCCACGTCATACTTACATTGTATAGTTCATCCAGATTTCTCCACCCGGTAGATATGCCAAATCCATCTCCAAAACTGCGATGATAGTATGCATCAATTTCAGCAAAGTAATCTTTGAAGTTGAAAAATCCACTTATAGGGTACAACTCGGCATTCTCAATTACTTCCTTTAGTACTTGCGGTCCAAGATACATAAGTACCTGAGAGCATCAAATAAAAAATTGTTATTGTTGAGGTAACAATCTCAAACAAAATGTTGTAGCAAAACGACTCCAGATTACCAGCCAAGATAAAAATGTCTGCAATGAAACACGACATTATGTATAGGTAACAACGTGCATGCATTTATCACTAATCCACTTGATCTAGAATCATTTACCATAAATACCTGGGAAAAAAATGCAGAAACTATGCAAACAGGAAGTAGCTTCCCTGCTTGGCAGACACATAAGCTACAAGCAAGACGGACAAACATATCTAAATTCTTTTCTTATAGGAGAATAATACATTATTTTTTGACATACACGTATCTTACTTATATAAATAAAGACATTAATATCTGACCTCATTTGCATCTTTAAAATGATTAACTTCATCTTTCTTTGGCCACTTGACTCGCCAGCATCTGCCATAGATATAAATACTGANACCAGTCTATCACCAAATTTAATGTCTTAGATTGTAATAGAGTCACAGTCCAAAACAGTGGTCTAATATTTACATAATCCAATAGGATAGCAGAGAATTGTGTTACCCTATAATGTTTATACTGGATGAGCTGTATAGAGATTATGCTAAAGGAATATTTGTTACAGAACTGAATATAGAGACCTTTGAAAGAGAGAGTATTTATTTGGCTTTCTTTTACTTGTTAGGAGAAGATTTTAATTTCTTCTTGTTTATGACATGGCCACTAACAATTGATTTCATATTTTTCTCTTGGGAGAATAAATAACGGAATGATTGAATTGCCTTCTTTCCATATCTATCTAGATTGTGCCTCTAATCTAATGTGATTCTCACATCCACTTTCCCTTTCTCTTATCCCTCTTTCGACAAGCAACAATGACTAAACCATCAACGGGAACAGGGCAATAGTCCTGTTAAGATACCCGAAACAACAAAACTGTGTATTTACTGAACAACAATATTCCCTGATGACATTCAGATTACTTATACTTCTAGTAAAAACAAAAACTAGACAAAAACATCCAAATAAAGAGAGAAGAAATGCAGATTAAAATATTAATTTAAGAAACTTAGCCACCCACGTCATACTTACATTGTATAGTTCATCCAGATTTCTCCACCCGGTAGATATGCCAAATCCATCTCCAAAACTGCGATGATAGTATGCATCAATTTCAGCAAAGTAATCTTTGAAGTTGAATAATCCACTTATAGGGTACAACTCGGCATTCTCAATTACTTCCTTTAGTACTTGCGGTCCAAGATACATAAGTACCTGAGAGCATCAAATAAAAAATTGTTATTGTTGAGGTAACAATCTCAAACAAAATGTTGTAGCAAAACGACTCCAGATTACCAGCCAAGATAAAAATGTCTGCAATGAAACACGACATTATGCATAGGTAACAACATGCATGCATTTATCACCAATCCACTTGATCTAGAATCATTTACCATAAATACCTGGGAAAAAAATGCAGAAACTATGCAAACAGGAAGTAGCTTCCCTGCTTGGCAGACACATAAGCTACAAGCAAGACGGACAAACTGATAGACCTCCTGTCAATATAGTCTATAAGTCAAGGGGGCATGGAAAGGGAGCACTAAGAGGAAATGGGTGCGAGTAAGGGTCGTTACAGCAAGGGGAAAAGAGTGTGTGTGAAGGTTGTTACAGTTTGTTACGGGATTCTCATGCATGTGGCTGGACAGAATAAAAGTGGTTAGGGTAAGGGTAGTATAGGAAGTAATTGGGTATAAATAGCTGGGGTGTGGTAAAGAAGGTATCAAGTTGATTCATATAGGTTTTGTGGGAGGTCTCCAGCTCCTCGAATTGCTAGAATTGCTCTGGGATCACTTTTTCTTGCTACTGCATTTTCATTCTGTTTTACTATTAACTTTCAGTTCACTTCCTTTGAGTGTTATTTCCATTCGGTTCTTGTGTGTGGGTGTTGGAATTGAGTTATTTGAGCAGGTGGTTCCATCACAAACATATCTAAATTCTTTTTTTATAGGAGAATAATACATTATTTTCTGACATACACGGATCTTACTTATATAAATAAAGACATTAATATCTAACCTCATTTGCATCTTTAAAATGATTAACTTCATCTTTCTTTGGCCACTTGACTCGCCAGCATCTGCCATAGATATAAATACTGATTAGGAGATTGCTTAAAAAGAAAATAATGGTACACAAAATCATCAGTGCAGTCTTGACTAGATATAGACCTTTCTCTTCCAAGCCGGCGTGCAAGTTCTTCAGCTAAGGCTTGACCAGGTGCATCCCCATCAGTGGCTAGTATAATGCGTGATACCTGTCAATACCAACATTATTAAAACCAACACCTTTATATGTTTAGATTAGCCACAACTGAAAGTACTAAACCTATCATACCAACCTCTTTAAGGTACTGTTTGCAGTTCCACAGATACTGATACTTAGTGTCCTAGTTTTACAAAATACACAGAAGGTGCATTAGATCCAGAATTTTTAGCAAGTTCAATAAAACACATGTCCTCAAATGATGAAAGAGAATCTCTATTTGTACAACACTTGTTTGCCTTGAGAAATACCATATATATGACCTTCTCAATCACAAAAGATCAAATACGGCAAAGTGAAGCTTAAATAAAGCAAACACCACTTAAGGGGAAAAGATTACAGTCAGACCATGTATAAGATAAACCTATGATCTACAACAATGACAGGAATATAGCATCTGGACTTTAACACTGTTGCCAAACATGCAACTCTGAAAAGTTAAGAGACATGCAAACAGTTGTACATGCTCACTCATTCATAATACCAAATCTAAATACTGATTTATGATTATATACTTGTTTGCTTATAGAAAATAACAAAAGGTAAATAAATCATGAAGCTTGCAATGTTTAAGTTTCATAACAAAATTTTTGTGAACTATCAAAATGTTACTTATGCTTACAAAAATGCTGATAAATTTGCTAAAACTCTATATACATATGTTTGACAGGGGTAGGCACAAGCAATAAGTTCAAGTGCAACACACTAAATTTTCATCAAGGAAGTGTCCTCCAAATCATACCGCCAAAAAATGTTGCAAACAACAAGTTTTAGCCATAAAAGATGAAAACAATCATGACAAAAGAAGCATACATCAACAGGAACTCCAATCCATTCAGACTGTAATCAACCACGAAGATGGTTATCTATATTGCAAATTACACAAAAAATGGTTAATATCCTGACTTGGATATCAGTGAATGAATGCCGTGTATATTAACATGATGAAGAATTCTGGTAAATCACATATTTATCTGGCATTTAAACTTAAAATAGATGGTTCATGATAAACTTAGTAAAATAAAATTTTAAGGGTTAACAAAAATCCCGCATAGGTTTCTAAAATAACAGAAATCCCTCAGCCGTTAATGAACTCTTAGTGAGCCGTTAACTTTTACATTGTTAAGAGTTTGTAAATATTACCAAATACCCTCCTACTATTTATTTTAACACCCAAAACTTAACAGCAAGGGGATTTCTGTTGTTTCCAAAACCTTGGGGGGATTTTTGTTATTTTACCAAACCTCAGAGGGATTAATTCATTAACCGAATTTTAAATTACTTCAATTATAGAAATATAACTCACATGGGACTATATGGATACTTTTAATCAACATTAGGCCTAAATTGATGTTGAATGACAGGACATGCTAATAATTGGACCTTAAAAATTATTCATATAATCCCCTACGCACATATGCATAAACAGGTAAATTTTTGAGGTAGTGTTGAAAAAGAGATTCTCTTCAATAAAGTAGTTTCTTATTATTGCACAGTTGAAACATGAGATTTGACATCCTAGTTGACATTTCTTGAGTTGTTACATTTTATAAGATCTTGTCAAGAGAAGTGAGTAAGCCATGAAAACAATTACTTATGAGATAATGAAAGTGACATGACTCAACATTTTCAAGTCAGCCAAACCTTGTCTTCAGGTGGCAAATCTTTTGTGGAAACTTGAGCAGGTGCTCCATCAGGAACACTGACACAATTACGAAAGCCAGCTTCCTCCATTGAAAGCTTGTCCATTTCCCCTTCAACCTATAATCAAAAGTTCAACATTTGTAAGCACGGAGGTCAAATTAACAGTAATCAGAAACCCCCAGAAAACAGAGAGGAAGACATACAATGATGATATCACTTTCTCCCTCTATATCATCCAAACCATAAAATACCTTTTCAGTATCCTTTTCCTGAAATAGAAGATAAGTACAAAATTGATCTAAATAACGGTTAGTAGAGTTCATATGCTATAAGCATTCAGAGCAGAAGAAGTAATATGAGAATCAGAAAAAGGAACTGTCCAATGGATAAGTGAAAATTACTCCATGCAGTCAAATTTAAACTCAATGTTATGAAGGCTGCACACTCACTGAAAAAAAGAATATACCTTCACTCAGTTTTATGTACACGAAAGTCCCACTGACCAGGTTTATTAATAACCAAATTTATAGCTTACATATATATTTTGCACCAGTCAAAGGTAAAATTTACAATAACGCGGCTTCACAGCAAATTAGACCTCCAGCAGGAATTAGTAATCTCATGTTAAAATTCAACTGTCTAAAAGGCACTTGTATTAGAACTCTAAGTCATCATTTAATTGTCATATTGATGTAACTAAAAGTTAGTTAATAAAACCTGCCAAAATCTCTTCAAGATGTCCCGATATTTGCAATTTACGAGCTTCTCCTTTTTCCAGTAAGTAAATGCAATAGCAATCTGGCAACAAAATTTCAATGGCAACAATTTAGATAGATATTGTAACATTTAGACATATTGTAAGTTTTTGACACATAAAGATGCTAAAATTGGAGCTGTGCCAAATATAATTCACTTTCTTCACATTGCCGGATGAAGAAACCTGTACTGCAACTGTTCTAGATGGAAATATAACTTTATTCACCATTGTTAACTTAGCTATTTTTAAGGTTTTCACAAAGTTTAACTCTGATAAAGACAATGGTAAGAAACAAAAAATTCAACATATGTTGGAGGAATTCACATGGGAACAAAATTAACTGTTTAAATGAATCTAAAACCATGCACCACCATCTTCTCTCTTTCAATAAGGCTTCAGATTTTCTATACATTCCATAACTGGTAATTAGGATTCACTAAATAGACCAATTACACAGGCCCTGATATATGATAAATAATACCCACTGTCCATCTGCCATAAAAGAGAAAGTGACACAGCTTAAACACTATTATATGAATAGTACCAACAAGCTTAAGCTTTTGAGTTAGACTTACCAAGTAGAACTATATTTAAATTTCAATATTGCATTAAATTCCTTTTAGGGTATATATACATATATAGCGAACCTTCTTAGACTAAAGCTTTTGAGTTTAGTGGTAAGTTGTGTTTCTTGTTGTAGTTGTGACTGTGATCATGTTCCATTCACATACCTTGCACATAAGGAGGCGTCCTAGAACTTAAATACTATAGCTAGGCTCTTACCTCTTAATTTTTTGGATATAAATTCAATATTTATCAAGAACAAAATGAGAATAATTATTTTCTTATAGTCCAGACATAGTAAAGGCCATCAGCATCCTAGCATATGATTTATAGTTCAAGATAGTTGGAAACCTCATTATCCCCACATCTTTTCTGCATAACACGATTTCTCTGCAGCGTCTCTGATGTTATCATTCGCTCAGCAAAATAACCACGAAGCTGAAACAGGATTAAATGTAAATTTTTTATTACAAAACTGATGCACAAGACAAAGATAATAAATTGATCAAGAATTAAAGCTTCAGAGTCCTGTAAACTCAATAAAAGGAGAGAGAGAGAAAGAATAATATGAATAACCATGCATATAATAGTATACACTTATGAAGTGAACAAGAAAAGGCATTTCTTGATGGCTTGAAAGCATAAATTTAACTGCAAAAAAGTATGTTTCAGTAACTAAAAAGCAACAGTTTCCACAAACATATTGAGGAAACCATCTGGAATGAAAGGAACGGTAGAGAGGCTTGTGGTCCTCACATAATCCACTTCTGAAACATGTTTTGAATGAAAAATAGAAGTTGTATCAGAACAAAAAAAAAAAATAATAAAAAAAAAAAACAGCCAAAAACAGAATGCTTGAGGTATCAAACAATTTTAATTAAACTCATAACCAAAAAGTGAATGCAAAAACAGAACAAAGAGCACAAAAAAGGTAAAATCCAGCAACCTGGTCAGACAGTGGCTCTAGTTTCAGACCTTCCACTGTGACTTCTCTTACGGTCTTCGTTTGGGCAATTTGTTTCAAACTTGAACGTGATTCTCCAAAGGCCTGCAATCATAGATGTGACATCAATCTCGGAGTAAAAATAAAAAAAAATTCACAAACATATAACCACAACCAGTTCAGCAAACTGAGACAAAGAATCTCTTACCCTCGTGCTGCCTTTCCATGCACATTTTGCACGAAAACACATCCATAAAGCTATGACTCTGATCACACAGAAATTCCAAAAAAGGAACAGAGAGGTAAGTGGTGATCTGTTAAGAATAGAAAAGAAGAAATTACAAAGAAAGAAAGTATAGATAGCATACCCATCAGGGCTGATGTAAACAGACAAGCTTTTTTCCTCTGAATCACCACCATTGCACTAATATACAAAGAATAATGAAAAACAACAAAACCAATATTATTGTTAATCCATAAAATGGGATAAGGAATGAAACATGAAGATTTGAACGTAGATCTACATTAAGAAATTAAATAAAAAATTAAGTTCAAGTCTACCAGTAACTTCATGGAACCAACACATCACAGTAAATCATCCTCACGAATTTGTAGTAAAGCAACTAAAATTTGGTTACCCTCTCTCAGTTTCTTAATTTGATATTTTTTCTTCTATTACTTTCTATTTCATATATGTAACAGAACACTCTAGTACAGAGAAGGGGGAACCCTCATTATGTTCATTAATATCTACAAGCACCTAATACAAATGTCCATAAATCATGGCATAAACCATTACAGAAAAAAACAAAACCCGACCAATTCGCACAAATTGAACTCAAAGAACACAACTTACAGCTGGACAAGTCATATGCGTATACTGTCCAGGAACACATTTCCCCACATAGATCCCCAGCTCCTTCAACTTAATCTTTAAAATATCCAATGGCCGCGAACCCAACCGCCGATTTTCTATATCCTCATAAAGAACAACAAAACAAACTCAAACATCAGTTCACAAACACCCTTTGTATTCATGAAACAAAACTCAAAAACACATAAAAAATAAACATTTCTCTATCCACACAAAGACATAAATTCACAAATGCCCTTTAAATGAAACCATAAACTGAACAGAAAAGCACGTAAAAAAAAAAAAAAAAAAAAAACCTGGGACCGAGGAGAAGTCATTGGTTTTAGTTGTGGTTTTCAGAGTCAAAGAACGATGATTATTACTACTATTATCAATGGGTTTCGAAGCACAAACGGAAAGAACCCGTGAAGAGGATTGCAAAAAGCGTGTATTAGAAGGAAAGAGGAGAGTAAGAGTGGATGCTGTCGAGGTTCTGAGAGAGCCCATGAAGAATGAGAATCTATGTTGAAGAAGAAAACGCATTCTAAGTGTTTGAAAAAATGTGTCAATAAATTTAGGGGTTTGGTTGGTTGGTTTTCAAAAGGGTTTAGAAATGGCTGAGTCTCACATTGAAGCACAAGTGAAGGCTGAAGACAAAGAAATGAGGGTTTTTGCGGGGTTTAAGCCTTCAAGGGTTCTGAATTCGCTTTTTGTCTCGTTGTGTCTATCAGAGAGGAGAAAAAGCGGGCATATTGCATAGTTTTGGGTTTAGGTAAGGCCGAACGACTTGTACCTACCCAAGGTTTGGCAAAACAATGTTTGGTACCTAAAAGGTTTTAAAATAATAAATAGGTACCTTTTGTTAGTGAAAAGACTAGAATACCTTTTGAGAAATATTAGTCTATTTTTTTATTACTTTAGACCCCTTAAGTTTATTAATTTCATCAAATACCCCAAAAAAAGCTTAAAAATTAACAAAAATACCCCCACCTACCCATACTTGCCAGATTCTGACAGCAATCACCGATAGTAGCCGAAATCTGTTACAACGGTCTACGTCACACCGTAAATGGCCGGTAATTCATCGACTTGGCCTTTTCCGGCAAGATCCACAGTGGATCTGGCCGGAAAAGGCCAGATCTGACGTGAAAATGTCAGATCTAGCCACAAAGTGACGGCCAAAGAAATTGTCAAATCTTAGCCATTGTTGACAGACAACGACGGCCAAAGGTGGAGTGTGCTACCGTCGACAGCCAGATTTGGCTATAAATCTGGCCTTTTCCTGCCATATCCGTGGTGGATCTGGCCTGAAAAGGCCATATCAACGCCTTATCCACCAGATCTGACCAATTTGTGGTGTAACACAATTTTTCGGCCAAATTCCAGCGGTGGCGGCCGGAATCTGGCACTGCGGGTGGTGGGGGTGTTTTTATCATTTTACAAAAATTTTATGTATTGGGGTATTTAGTTAAATTAGCAAACCTAGGGGTTTTTTTATATTTAAAAAACTAAAATATCAAACTTCAAGGGCATTCTAGTCTTTTCACCATTAGCAAGGTACCTATTTATCATTTTGAAACCTTTTAGGTACCAATATCGTTTTGCCAAACCTTGGGTAGGTGTATGTCGTTTCCCCTTTGGGTAATCGGATCTTGTTTGAAATTTTATGGACCCAATTGGCTTGGTATTGTCCTCTTACCCCAAATTTAATGTACAGACCATTTTGTTTTTTATTTTTTAAAATCTTAATTATATATATTTCATAAAAATGAGTCAATATATTTAAAAAAAAAAAATTCAAATATGATCTTAAAAATTAGTGTAAAATTAAAAAACGAATTTAAACTTTAAATCAATTTTTTAATATTATATTAAAGACACTTTGAGATATTAAAAATATTAAGATTGAGCTAAAAGTTTTGAATTATATTTTAGCCTTTAGATATCGGATCTTGTTTGAAATTTTTGGCCCAATTGGTTTAGTAGTGTTGTCCATTTAGCCCAAATTTAAGCCTAAGTATCTTCTTTTACTGAAGAATGATGCTATATACACGCCACTAGTTATCTTATTATCCCCCATCTCTAAATGGAAAATGATAGAGTTATTGAAAATTACACACCGAATCCATGCATCGAATGACATGACAAAATCCTGACAGTTGATTAATATTAATTTATAATGAATCAATGGTCAAGATTATGTCACGTCATTCGGCGCACGAATTCAGTACGCATCCTTCGGTAACTGTAGCATTACTCTCTCTAAATATATTTACAATAATTTCAAAATCACCCTTTCAATTTAATTTTTTTTAATTTACACTTTCAAAACTCGTTTTTTATTTTTATATTTAAAAAAAAAATTCAAGACAATGCAATGAAATTTCTCAATGAAAATGAAAGAAGAAGATCATTTCGTGTTCTATAGATTTGTCAAATTTTTTTTTTTTTTTTAAGTGAAATAAGAATCACGGGTGCTTTATTATTAAGGATATTATAGTAAAAAATGTAAAAAAAAAAAAAGGAAGAAGATGAGGGGGCATGTTGTGGCCCCCGCGCCCGCGGGGTTGGGTGGGGGGGTGGTGGGGGTTGGGTGTGTTTGAGGGGAAGGGGGGAAGTAATTCGTGGGGGTTATTTAGTACCGGTTGGGTGGGGGGGTGGTGGGGGTTGGGTGTGTTTGAGGGGAAGGGGGGAAGTAATTCGTGGGGGTTATTTAGTACCACTTTTTGAACCTGTTTGACCGAGTTTATAAAAATTATAAAGTAATTTGAGTTTATAAACATTTAAAATTTAAGCAGTTAGACCATCCCTCACCACAAATACCAAATTGGTGCAAGTACTGCATCAAATTGGTGTGATTTTTGGTGTATTTTACTATTGCATCCCCAACCCATTGTATCAAATATTGACAAGCTATTCGCAAGTATACGAAATCACGCAAGTAATAAAGCTCGAGTAAACGAATGTCGAATCCCAAGAAAACTACCTACCAAGTACCAAACTAGTCTATTCTATTGTTATTTGATGAAACAGAATTTTAAGAATGAATTTAATGAAAAAAAAACAAACAAACTAAAAACAAAACAAAAACAGAATTTTATAAATATTTTGGTATAAAGATCAATATGACTAAACCTATAGCACAAATTTCACACCAATTTAATATTATGCATTAACAATTATTGCTAACCTAATTAAGCTTATTCTAAAGGCCAAAATCTCTGATATTTCACTAACTTTCTCTAGAACAAATAGAGAATTAACCCTTAAGCAACAACCCAAAATATCTCTAAGTTGGATTTAGGAGCTAAGAGATCATTAAGTTCTATGGAATTTACCAGAGCCTCATATATCACGGTAACCTATCTCTAGCGTTCGCTCAATCTATGGTTTTATTACCTTAGACTAATCAGGTTTCATCTCTCGATCTCAATCCAACCCATGATATCATTCAACTCTCAGATCCTTAAGCATTGAAAGCATTACACACAATAACAAAACTTAGAATTAATGCTCAATAAGAATTAACAACAATAGAGTCAACACATATTCATAAATTGGGCTACATCTTTAGTCCTAGAAAAGAGATTTAGTTCGTAATTATAGTAATAAAAATAACCATTGTATTCAATAACATGAGTTCAAGAAAGAAAAATAGAAAAACTTCTCTAATTGACGAACGAGAATTGCAAGAATTTCGATCTCCAAAATAGTAGCCGTCCTTTCTCCTTCTCTAATCCTCCTAAAAACTACCTGAAGTCCCTTATTTATAGTGCTAGGGTTTGGAGGTTACTTAGGAAAGAATTAAATGCTTAACCTATTTAGATTCGGACTAGGAGAATGCAATAACCCAAACAAGCTCGTGACCCATTGCTGCGGCGATAAGAACAATCGTTGCAATGATCATTCTTTCTATCCAATGAGTCTGTGATCTCTAGAATTGGTAAAGTTATCAACATGAACTTTGTAGCTGTTTGAATAAGCTTTCCAACGCCATATGAATTGTTAAATTCCAATTTCTACAGCTCAAGTTATGACAGAAACATCGAAGCATGCTCATCTCGAGGGATTTTCAGATTTTACGTTATATTTCGGCGCATCACAACTTTCTCGTTTCAACTCTAATTCTTGCATCATTTGTTCCTACGCGTCATGAATTCCATCGACATTATTATTTTTCCTTCAAATATCGGTTTGAACCTGAAAATACTGAAAATACACCCGTGATCCCAAAAAGATATTTATGAAAGAATTAATTCAAATTCCACAATTTAAACACATTTTTCCATAAATAATTCAATTAAATCACTAACAAAATATATACTTTCAAGCTCTTATCACAACCCCCAGCTAGCTTTTTGCCAGTCCCTAGCAAATTAAGCGATAAAATATGTCTCTAAGCTTGAAAATAAAACACCCAATTAAAACCTATATCTAAACTATCCTAAATCACTTTCGTAGATTGACACGATTGTATTTAGCGTATGCAACAAGCCTTTAAACCCCTAGGCGTCCCTAGTTGAACGAGTTATAGTCTCGTGAGGGTTTCCAGCGATGATACCCACAAACATCCATACTAAACTTATCCTAAACTGCAAAAATAAAAATAAACATAAACATAAAAAAAAACAAAAACTAACAAAAATTCTTGGATCAATTCATAAAGTTGTCTCAAAAATTGCATATACACACAACAAATAGAATAATAAAAAATCACCTAAACTCATAGACAATGCAAACATCAATTCCATTTTCGTTATAGACCCTAAAACATCCATACAACCACAAACCATTAGTCTTCAAACCTGGATGGTTTTATGCATAAAATTCATGAACAAAATTTTGATCTCAGTATTCGAGTTATGACATATATGTGAATCATGGAATCAAACTCCATATGCTCACTTTTCAAACCACTCTCCACTAATGTAGAAGTTCACATTACCTTGGATCAATAGGTCTTTGTAAAGGTTGTAACGTTAGGCTAGAGTATGAGTTCAAGAAGGAACGAAAAGGGAAATTAACAAAAAATCTAATTAAGAGACTTAATTTTCATTCATTCTTATTACTATCATACAAAAACACTTCCCTTTTTCACGCAGTAGCTTCCTAACCTTTATCGAACTCTTTCTTTTCGATAGTACTATAAACTATTAGGGCCAAAAATCGTCCTTGGCCCAAATAGGAAAACGGGCCTGACAATGAAGAAGCCAAGCCCAATCCCGATCCGGATTAGGTCCATTTGGGACAAGATACAGCCAGCCCAAACCACCTGGGTACGAGTCTCTCAATCCCGGCCCATTTCCTAGGTCCGTGGGCGAATCCAGGACCCATGGCCCTCAGAATATTTTCCTATTCCTGAGCAATCTCCTATTTTAGGTCACCTTCCTGTTCAAAACACTTTCCTACTCGAAGTTACTCTCCTAATCAGAATCACCTTCCTATCCGGACACTGGTAAGACAGCTTGCCATGGCCCTAATTCTTCTAGGGTTTGCATCAGAGTCACTGTAACAGCCACTTTCTACTCAAATACTCATAATAAAATACATATAAAGTAATATAAAGAAATTGGGCCCAAAATTTTCTTTTTATTAACTATATATATATATTCTTTACAAACATATACATTTTTACACAAAATTATAATGTGTACAAAAGTCATCAAAAACATAATAGACAGTGTAACCGCTTCTCCTCGAGTGCCGATGTCCATCCGACCATGTCCTCACCTAGATCCTGCAAAACATAGGAAAACAACGGGGTGAACACTAAAATAATGCTCAGTAAGTAAATCC